AGTAGGGAAGGAGCGGGCTATATGGGCTTGGAGCTGCCGGGGGCGGAGGGAGCGCTGGAGGGGCTCTGTGCTGTGGGGGTTGCTCTCTGTTGTGAGGGGGATGCTGCTGCGTTTAGGCTCTTGCTGTGGGGTGCTGTTTGTGAGGGGTGGCCTCTGTGCTGGTGTGTGGTGGCACTCGGGGCAGGAGGCTCGGCTCTCTTCTTGCTGGCTAGTAAATGCTTGCAAAAATTATTACTATTTTTTAATTTAGAAGAGCCCTCCTGGTCTCAGGTGGTTGCAGAGACAAATGGGTGAGGGACTAGGAGAGGTCTGGGCTCCACAGCCGAGCATCATCTTCACCCAGGGAACACAACTTCTTTTTGAACTACTCTTCAGCTCAGAAAATGTGTCTGGTACAGGCTGTTTAAATCCAGAGACCTTCTAGTGGGAGTCAGTAAAGCCCTCTGAATATGGCCCTATAAATTGGTATAACCAGGGTTTTACAAATGATACTGAGCTTTTTGTGTTTCAGAGTTGCTGGGATAAGTGATAACAGCAGATGTGCGAAATATCACGGCAGAAAGGAAAAAAAAATCAAAGTCTGTTGCTTAAAGCAGCTGGATTTGATTTACGTGTACCTGGGTTACAGGGATTCCTGCAGTGGAAGTGAAAATGGCCGTTTCCGCTCAAGCTGCCCCAAATTTCGTGATCTCAGACAGGATCTTTGTGTGAAATCCCCTTCCTGGAGCTGCTGGGAGACGTCCAAAGCTATGCAGTTGATGGGGCCTTCAGTGAAGTTAATTAACCTAGAGTCTATAGCAATAACCCTTGGCAGCTGGCCCAATATAAACACGGTCTTGTGCCCCTTTCACAGCCTCCAGCATCTGTCTGACAAGAAGGCAATCATCCCCAGCGCTTAACCCTATAAGGGCTTTTTCCCAGTCCAGTTACATGGAAAACCCATGAGAAAGGAAGATTTGCTTTCTGTTTCTAACTACTCTATGCAGTTTACTTTCTGTTACTTTTTTATAACTTGTTTTACAGCTGTTTAATACTTCCAGCCTCATATACCTCTCCTTTTTCCATCAGCTGCTTTCTTTAAGCTATGCCACAAACTGTGGGGGTTTTTTTGACTGTTATACGCTGATGCCCCTTAGTTTGATGTGTGAGAAGTCCTACAGGCTCGCAGTGATAAGGCTTTTTTTGTACCATCTTCTCTGCATCATGGTTCATACAAAACTTTCCTAATTAGTTCCTGCACAACTAAGCCTTAGTCCACTGGAGGTCTTGCAGAGCCTGTGCCTTCCTTCTCCTGTTGCGAACTTGAAAAGTATCTATTTAAAGCAGATGTATTTTAATTATTGCATAGTATATTGTTATTTGTAGCTGTTAATACCTTTGTGTCTGACCTTTTAATTCTCAAATAGCGCTCTTGAACCCAGTTTTCCAAAGAGCCAAGGGGTTACAGAGTACCTAGTCTTACTCAGTAGCACTCTGCCCCAACAGATCTCATATGGGGCTCTGCATCTAGAAGGCAGTTTTGGAAACAGTTTTGAACCTAGGTGCTTGTGATGCTTTCAGAGCTAGACCTGATCACATTTGTATTCAAGCTAGTGAGGGTTCTCTGGGAGGATTTGTCATTTAGTAAGAGTTTTCCAAGTGTCTACAGGCAAATATACTGTGAAGTAGGGCCAGAGACCTCCCCGTGTGCATGGCCGCGTTGCTAAGTGAGCTGATTAGCACAGAACATAGGGCAGCACTAGCTCAGGGCTGAAAAGCGTTGATCTGGAAACCCTGCTCCCACCGGAGCTCAGGCAGTTGCTGCTAGCTCGAGGGCCTCAGTCTTGTGCACTGTTCCCTGTTCTGATTTGTGCTTGGACTTTTCAAATCCTTTTGGCTCTCAAGCCTAAAAATGCCTAAATGAACGCAAAACTTCTCGCATTGATCATCTAGGCCAAGCTGTCACCTGCTCTGGATATTGGCAGAAACCACCTTCTTGGAAGAATCTTTGTATTAACCAGGGGCTTATGCCCTAATGGAGAAGGGAATAAATCCTTTCCTAAACTCTTGCCTCCTCAATATTATGATGCCTTTTAAATAGCTTTTAATGATACATAGCAGATAAAGAAGGACATTAGTATGCAAGAACTTGCTTGCAGATATGCTGCATGCTTAATCTGGGAAAGGATGCTGTCTTTGCTGACTGGGTCTCACTTAAATTCGTCTGGTGAAAGAATAAACTGATGGTGATCCTGTGAGCTGCTGCCCTCTGTTGCACAAATCCAACACAACACTGACGCTATCCCCTGGTAGCAGGGAGATGAAACAGTAATACCCTGACTCGGAGTTAATGGCAGCTGTCTTCCTTGGAAAAAACTCACGAGCGGTTGTGTTGGTTTTCTGCATAACTTGAGGCACGACAATGGCTGTGAAGGGCAAAGTGCCAACGTTGTACCTCCAGCTATTGCTGAAGGTATGTAGTATTTCTCTGTGTGGTATTACAGGAGTATTCTAGACTGCCTTTGAAGTGTGGTGGGGAAAATGCAGATCTCCGCTATCGAAGTTGTTTGGATTTTTATATGCTGATAGACAAGCAAAGGACACACTTTCAAATCTTAAGACTATTCTTTGCTATAATATGTATCGTATGGGGGAAAAATTATTGTAACTTTGTCATTGAATAGAAGATTAATCTCAATTTAGTCTTGTATATGTGTTTTAATACAAGATCCTTAATGACACTTTTTCTTAATTCCAGGATGACCTCTCGGCTAGTCCTCAGCTGTTTACTTCCATGAGCGCTTATGATGTAGACCTTCCAATTCAAACAACTGAAGATGTGTTGTTCTCTTCTCAATTTAATCAGCCCAAAGAGCTTCCTACAGACTTTTCCTCTGTGGATCTCAGCTTTCTTCCAGATATTACCCAAGATAACAAAGAACAAAACCTATCTGAAGAGGGTCATGAAATGCAAAAAGAGCTTGATGGGTCAGTATCAAGGAATGAGGACAGTGGTATCTTCATGGATGAAAGCAGCTTGTCACATCCAGATGTGACTCGACCATCTCCTGAAGCACCTGGTGTGTGTCCTTCTCTGACACCAATGACTCCTATGACCCCAGTGACACCTGCATCAGAAAGCTCTGGCATAGTTCCTCAGTTACAGTAAGTTTATGTATGTATTATACAAGTAGCTTATATAATAGTCATGGTTTCGCTTAAACTGCAAGGTACTGCTCTAACTTCTCGCTTAGAGAATGTAGCAAGCATGGTTTGGTCTTAAATAAGCCCACTCAAACTAGAGGGGCAGCTATTCCTCTTTGGGGAGAGATGGAGCAAATGAACTGACAATACTGGAAGGCAACTAGATACTGTGCTGATCAGTGCAATACAAAAATGGAAGCGGCACAGAACAATACCCAGCTTAGCAAAACAGGGGAGTGTGGACTTGATGAACATGCTGGGTGAGTGAGTATCTGAAATGCTTCTGGTTTGTTAATGGGAAAAAGTCTCTTCTGGGAGACAGAAGATGAAGTCTCTCAATGGGATAAATTATTTATATATGGTATGTACTGCTAATTAATTCAGTCTGCAAAAAGAAAAGATAAATAACACTTGAAAAGGACGATTTCTTCCAGCAAGGAGAATGTTAAGGATCACAGCAGACTCCAGGGGTGTCAGTCTGCTTTTCTGAGTGCAGAAACAGGCTGAACTGAGCAAGGGAAAGGGGAATGAGAAGAAGGGTGAGAAATTCTGGCCTCGTTAAAAGATCCTGTCCTGTCTAGGCTAGAGCAACTATGAAGTAGGTTCTACCTGTAGAGAGTAACATACCCTTATCTACCTTGAGTGCTGTAGTAACTCTGTAAACACTGAGTAATGGTTCAATTCAAAGCTGTAAAAGACTTCAGTGATGTAGTTATTGGAAGATATGTAAACTAAGTATTCAGGGACTAATAATTTCATACTTTGGTATAGCTCAGAAACTGTAATTTTGGTATTGAATTACTTAAGTTTTGCCAAAAGTAGCTTAATGCTAGAGTGGGGAAAAAGGCAGGCAGGAAATTAGTTGATAGCAATAATTAATTGGAGTGTGATTTCACATCAAGTTAATAATGTTGGGAGTTGGCTCTGTAGTGGCTTGCTTTTGCAATAAGAAAATTCCTCTCTCCTTCCTCAGGAATATAGTGTCAACTGTAAACTTGGCTTGTAAACTAGATCTGAAGAACATAGCTCTGCATGCCAGAAATGCAGAGTATAACCCAAAGGTAAATCTTAAGGACTGAAAGCTTTACACACACTCCCCTTTCTCAGTGCTGATGGCTTCTAATATAGAAATTCACCATGAGTTTTGTCCCTTTTCTAATAGCACTGTCTTGACCCATGGGGAAAGTCATAAAAATCTGCAATTTGGGCCTGTTAAATTAAAAGAAATACAGGTGGCCACAAGGAGACTTTCTTTTTTCTTTGAATAAAGCCCTAGCAATGAGATGTTACCCAGCTGTTTAAGAAAGGAAATGAACTCTCCCACCTGTGACCAGCTACCTCCAGCTGAAATGGCTAATGCAGCCCTTGCTGAGGGGGAGGAAAGATCTGCCCCTAAACTCTCGGCTGAAGGAAAAAGAATTACTGGAGTCAAACTGGTATTATGTGATACTTCTACCAAGTGGCCTAGACTGCAGAAACTTACTGGGAATAGATGGACTTTCTGTAAGTGACTACAGACTGCTCAACAAGATGTAAGGGACAAGGCAGTGGTCCTGTAACTGTAGTCTTAAGCCCCTGGGTCTTAGGGGGCTGGAAAATAACTTCAGGGTGGTAAATAAACACTTTTACAAAGGAAACGCATGCTGTGTTGAGCTTTGAAAGTGACAATTCTTGAAAGCATGAACAGAAATACAGTACCAGTTAAATCCCTCAGCTGGACTGTGATGTCTTCCTTTGAATTTGCAGAGGTTTGCTGCTGTGATCATGAGAATCAGGGAACCACGAACAACAGCCCTCATCTTTAGTTCAGGAAAGATGGTCTGCACAGGAGCAAAGAGGTATTTTTTTGCTTTTCCTTCCTTCTAAAGGTCTGGGTCTTACAGCTTTCTGATGAAAAATGTCAGAAAACCTTGTTTAAATTACCTAGCAGAGGGCTGTCATAATTGCAAGGGAAAAAATGCAGTACCGGTATTGAAAAAATGTCTAGCTTTCTTCATGATGGCAGTTCAGTAATTACTGAACTGCAAGCTTCTGTCCCTGAATATAGATTGAGCTGAGCAGACATTAGCAGAAAAGCTGCTAAAATGCCTGGGAATTGTTAAGGGGTTATTTGCATTTCTCACTGACTTTAAAGTGAGTTAGGACATAACTTGTGTCTGTCAAGTCTCTCCTCAGTGTCTGTTCACTAGTCAACACATCTGCCTCTAGGGAAAATGGGAATTGGAGAAAAGCAAAGATTACTTCTGTGCTTGGAAGCTCTTATCCTCAAGTTCTTCAGCTGCTGTGGTTTTTACGTCCCTAAACTGTCAATGAGCTAATCCATTAACTTGTAGCTTAGGAGACCTCTTCTCCAACCCCTACCACCATCCCAAACTAGCTAGATGACTGTACTGGTGTCTGCAGTCTCCCTCTTGGGTCAGCTCTGAGAAGCTGTTGTAAGGAACTAAGAAAGAAACCTCTGAAGAGGGGAACCCCTGAGTGATGCAACATGTTCCAGCGTGCTCAGATACACCACAGGAAAGTGAATGACAAAGTGCCTTATTCTTTTTAGCTCACTGAAGTGGTTCTGGGGATAGAGGCTTGCTATTTTGAGCAGTAGCATATTTTTTTCCTGGAGCCCAGATTAGCATGGTGGTGGCTCTAAACTGACTTCCGTCTTGAGAGCAGAAGAAAGCACTAATCGAAGCTGCTTTCCCCGTCTGCTCTTCCTTCAGTGAAGAGCAATCACGGCTCGCAGCCAGGAAGTACGCACGCGTGGTGCAGAAGCTTGGGTTCCCTGCCAAGTTCCTGGACTTCAAGATACAGAATATGGTTGGGAGCTGTGATGTGAGGTTCCCCATCCGGCTGGAAGGCTTGGTTCTCACTCACCAGCAGTTCAGCAG